AATCGTGTTCATCCTTAGTCGTTGTTTTATGTTACATAACTGTAAATAGACATTCTTACCATTTGTTTACAATAAATTATGTTTTAATTCATGTTATACCACTAGGTTAGGCACCATTAGATTTCGTGCAATTTAAAAGCTGGTATATGGAGGTTTATTGTACTACATACATCAGCGGCGATAAAGCATGTTTAAAAGTGATACCTGTTTTATTTTTGTACTGCACTTTGACAGTATATAAAGTACTGTATTCAGAATTTAAATCGTACATTATACCAATATTAATCTTATAATTTATATATATCACTATTGTACATACTTCATCTGTTAAAAATGTTATTTCTGAACAGATATCTTTAGAGTATTATGCAATAGATTTATTAAAACTGTTTGTTATCTGAATAAAATTAAATAAATGTATATTAATAGTATATTTTACTGGTTTCTTTTGTAATCAATTATGAATCGTATTGTAGTTTTTAAATGTCGTTGGGTTGTGGCAGGCCTTACATCTCACCTGTTGCTCGCAGCACCTAATTTAGCATTTGGGCTATGAGTCACCCTTACATAAGTTTCACAAAGAGGAACAATGTTTTGGTGTCTAAGTTATAGTTACTTAAAAAGAAAACTGAGTGAAGTAACGTAACGTATTCGCCAAAGAGATGTAGGTTAATTTGGATTTCACAATTCATTAAAATTCTTTGTTTTTATTTTTGTTCCAGTACTCTTGTACTGAATAGACTTATCTTTGTAGATATGGATATTATGTTTTGATTTATTGGAATTAAAAAGCCAATTCGGTTTGTAATTGTAAGATTTGATCTAACGAAGTATATTTATTTTAACGTAGAATTCATGTTTTAATTAATTGTTAATGAAAAAAATTTTTTACAACATCTTTATTTTCAACAATCATTATAGGTACTTCAAGCAATTTAGTCAATTATACACCTTAACCTTCTTCATCAGTTACTTCATTAATTTCCGATGATTGTATAAATAATCTTTCGGTAGTGTTTAATTGATGGCATCCATATGGACAAGAGTAAAGGGGACGTTAGTTTATAATATAAAGCAAAGACATTTTCCGTTGTTATTATGCTGTTGTTAGTACCTGAATGCTCATTGAATCGAGCTTTAATTGGACGCTTAGAGTATAACTTGGTATAGAGAGCAGCTCGGTGACCTTGATGTTCGTCACGGACGGCGGCAGACATACGAGACGAGGGAATCTGACACCAGTCGATGCGTGAGACTGGATACTAGAAAACTCTTCTAAATGAAAAATCAATGGTTTTTAGATCATCAATAAAATTCATATAATGTATTTAGAAAATATTTTGATATTAAATAAGTTTTAAGAATTATTTCAAGAATAAGTATTAGTATCGGAAAACCTTGTCAACTCCGAGTAACTACCTTATTATATTTCACCACATTAGTATAATAAAAAGTATTAGATAACACCACTCATTCGGTTTTCACCAAAACACGCTAGTGAGACAGGTTTCCTTGTATTTCTATTCGTATCTATATATCTGTGCTAATATTAAAAATAGGAAATATTTGACTGTTTGCATCGAAAAGGCTCCGAAACCACTGCACCGATTTAAAAAAATATTTTACCTTCGGGTAGTTACATCATACGGGGATAATATAGGGTATATTTTCGCATGCGAAGTCACGGAAAAAAACTTAAAACAATAGAACCGACTTCAAACTTAAATAGAAGTGAAAAATAATACTTATATTAAAAGCGATTATTCAAGAAAATGCTATTAAAGTTGGGCGGAAGTTTTCCGTAGGTTATTAATTAATTTATCGGCGTCTGACTTCAATAACATTTTCTTGAATAAGTCGCTTTTGAGATAAGTATTATTTTTCACTTTTTTTTAAGTTTGAAGTCGGTACTATATTTCTTTAAAGGTTTTTTTATTTCATGCTTTTTAATGATATTGATATTTTTATATAAAAGAAAACACTAAAAATAATTTTCTGGATACCACGTCAAAACCGTGTTAAAGTGCGAATCTCTATTTATTTTAGTCTGTTAATATACCTAAAACCATCTCCTAAGTCTGACAAATACAACGCTGAAAATTGAAATGGGACCACAACGGAAGCACCAGCTTTCAAATAAAAAAAGAATCGGTCCACCCAGTAAAAAGTTCTGAGGTAGCAAACAAAAAAAACCAATCGAATTGAGAACATCCTCCTTTTTTGAAGTCGGTTAAAAAACAGCTACATAGTTACTTATAAATATTTGGTCTATCTAGCGTTAGTTTCAGTGTATCTACATTTTTCATTTCAGAGGGAATAAAGTTATGTTTATAGGTTTTGCATTATTTATATTAAAATTATAAAGAGGTTAAGTTTCTAACTTTGTTTGTTTTTATTTAAAGAGCAAGGTGACTGGTGACCAAATGTACTGTCTGGCTGGTATTACGGCCGTGTGTCTGTTATGTGATCAACTAATCACAGTTCAGAGGCTGCTCAGTTGCATAGCTCTGTCTGTCTGTTTAGCAACAATACTGTTCGATAATATTTAGTTTTTTATTCATCGTCAGTTGCAATGGGGAGTTACAATAGTTGGAGGGCTTCAAGCGTGACTTAGGCACGCTAAATATTGACAAATATCTTAGCTCATTATTATAAAGCATTTTGGATAGAGAAACGAGTTTGTTGGTTTTTAACTTTATAAATATTATAATCGAGGAATCCGAGGATCCCACCATTATAATTAGGAGTGATGCCTCGGTAAAAAAGAAATTCTATTTAGTCGTCAATCGGAAAATAGAATTTTATTATAGTGATAAAACATTATATATATTCCAAAAATAACATAAACTACAAGGAGACTTTTGCTTGCTGGTTGAATGCATTAACATACGATGAAACTGAAAACCTTTTGAAATAATTTAAAGTATAACGTAAAATTCGACGAATTTGCAATCGAATGACTGGCACTTAGCTACTTAATTAAGAGCTAAGAAATGTAGGTGATCTGTTTGATATTTATTAAACGAGTATCAGGTACATATTTTATGTATTTAGCGTACGTTAGACAATATTTATTATAAATTACATACATATTCTAATTTTACAAATAAACTTACTACAAGTTTGTTTCAACTAAAGTAATACATATTTAGTTATATACATTCATACATATTCTATATAATATTTCAAAAATTAACGTATTAAAACATTATTTGGTGAGCTGCATGACAATTATGAAAAACTTGTTAATTTGAACATAAGTAAAGTGCTTATTAGAAAAATTGCAATATCGAAGGTGAAGTCTGGTGACTTGAAAACCTTATTTTAGGCTTAGTTTCCAGTGAGTCCAGTCTTCCACGTGATTGTTTACTTTGGCAGTTGTTACCGTAATTTTAAGAACATTTGTGGAAGAAAAATAAATATCATTATTATTATTCAATACGTTTTTTATTTGCTTCAATTTAACAAGAAATAGCTTAGATAACAGGCATTAAAGACGAGGAGTAGGGACTCTCTACGTCATAGCTTTGTAGAAAATGTACAAAAACGTGACGTCATGCGACACCGTAATTTATTGATTACGTAAAAAATAAAATAATACGTGTTTTACATTCTTCAATAATCTAACAAAACAAATTAGTCATCATACCTTTTAAAATCTATTTCAATCCCTTTTAGTTTGACATTTGATATTATTATATGTTTATATATTTTGAAATGTGAGAGTTATTGAGATCACAATATTACTTTGAATGCTATTGAGACATGTCAGACGGAAGAGTCAAAAATTAACTGCAATCGTTCGACGGGTGTAGCTAAGTTTTACTATGTTTCATGATTATTCAAGTTATCACTAGTTCCGAAAGCGATATTGAATGTTACATTTAGGTATAAATATTTATCGTAATTGCATAAATTTTATTCAATATTAATTCTGTCTTTTGAATAAAAAATATCAGAAGTGTTAACATTTCTGTTCAGCGTTATTGGCTGAACAGAAATGTTAACACTTCTGATATTTCATTAACTAAAGGCAGCTAGACTCTGTCTCAGCGTACCTAGATTGTGGTTACGCGAGTTAACCGAGTAAGAGAAAGTAATGCTATAAAGTCAAAAGTCGTGGCAAATAACCTCTAGGAAAAGTTTATAGTCCCTTCCCCACTTAGATTTTATTGAGAGTTGCTGCTACAATAAATTAATTTATCTATCTTTTGAAAACACGGACGGTGCAGAGCTAAATCCACTAATTATACGAACTTCAATCACACGTTGTCAGTGAAAACGTAATTTTTATAGTAATTACTTTTGTATCGGTATTAAATTGGTCTTTATTTGTATATCGACCATACAATAGTCCCAAAAGATAATTTTCGTCTAGCGAAAGTATCCCACACTCATTTGCAGGTACTTATATAAAAGGTAATTTTAGGAAATTATATATATTTTTTGTGCTTTTTTATTTTTATTGCTGTGTGAGTATAATGTATGGTGAAGCGTTTTCACATTTTAGGCTATTCGAATTCATCTCTCAGCTGACTTATTTAGTATACATAATCAATATAGCACTAAAACAAACTACTCAAATTTCAGTATTGGTATTATGTATGCACTTCATGGAGTTTAGTTTTGCTTATCAGTATAGAAAATTTAGCTTATCGAATTAAAATCATAATATTGGTATGAAACGATTTTGTAGTCCAGCATGCACTACCTACACAGTTTGGCGTTGATAAAATAACTGTTACATTTGACTTAGATTGTTAACAAATTATAACTAACTAGCTGTTTTGTAATTTGTATATATCGCGTATATAGCTTCCCATTTCCCTTTGTTAAAGAATTAGGTATACCCGCGTAACTAATTTCACAAATAAAAATATGTTGACGATATCTTTTCTGTATATTCAAAATTATTGTCTAGTATAAGCTAAGACTAACATAATATAAAAAAATAATTATACCTTACAGACTTTTATAAACATACTAATATTTGTTCACAGACTCCAGAAAGAATTGAGGCGCACTCTCAACTTTCGAAAAGTATTATGGAGAAGAACGGTGAAGCTGTGAAGCTCTTAGACAAGTCACCGATCAAATCAGACCCTCACTGCACGGAGGTCACGGCACTCAATATGGAGGTTGATACTCTAAGATGGCAACTAGCTCAGGTTATGCACATTTAAATTCGTCAAAATACTCGTCAATATATGAAATTACCTTTTGCAAATGTGCTGCTCTGTTTATAAATTTTATTTTTAGATCTAATATTAGCAGAATTGCATTTTGATCAGATTACATGCAATATGAGCTGAGCAATTGGTGCACCAATATTGATATTTGAACTGTTACATTGTTTTCTGTTTGTTGCTATGCGAAATTGCTTTGCGAATACTTGGCGATGTTTTATTAAATATTTACATTGCAAGAATATTGCAACGATATCTCGAGGTGTTGCTTTACCCTGATGTCTAAATTGATTTTCCAATGTTAGCGTGTGTTGTTTTCAGACAGAAGCAAACCGACAAATGCATATAGCTTTACTTAAGCAAATAGTGACGTTCCTAAACAGAGTGAGGGATCATATAGATAATCAAATAAACGAGAGTCCAAGGAAGGAGATGATGATGACAAGAATCACGCCGAGGTCTTTCAACGTTGCAGACTTGCCGCGCTCTAGATCAGTTCTTCACTTCAATAAAACTCTGGAATGTTCGAGTCCAATGAAAAAGATCAGCACAAAGAAAATTAGTAAATCCATTAGTAATGTAAACGGTTACAAGGATTGCGTCGGTCATAGGTAACGATTGTTATAATATAGGAATACTAGCAAAGCTTCAGTCTAATTTTATATAAAAATATTTTTGTGTTTTCAGGAATCAGATAAGATGTCCGCTCTATTCAGAAAATGAGACTGCCCAAAAAATTTCGGAAGAAACCCTCAGATTGATAACTCTTGCCAATACAGTTCTTAGTACTAATTTGCCAGATCTCGCTTGCACATGCACTGATAATGTTGATGACGGGGCGACTAAGACTACAGAAATTAATTTAATCGATAAAGATGGATTAAGAAACAATGACTCGATGAGTTCTTTGGGTCTCATCGAAGAAAATACAGCTAATACATATATATTGAACACAGACAACGACAGTAATGACATCTACGAGAGCATCAATGAAAACTTCATAGAAGGCAAAAATAGCGCGATGAATGATTTCATAGTAACACAATCTCCACTGCATTGTGGATTGGAAAATGATTTTGCTACTTTTGAATTGAATGAAAAAGGGAGACAGAGCACTTTGTCTGAAAAACATGTTACAGAAACTGTTAATGGAACAATACTAAAAAGTACTCACAATAGGCGGAATGAATTCAGTCATGTATCCAATTTCATCGAAGATGAGAGCGGGTTTTCCTCTATGAACTCATTTCAAGAGATTGGCATTCCTATCATAAGTATTATTCCACCGTCACCATGTAAAGAAGTGAATTACATAGATGAGATTCCAGACATATTGAATGAACCAGAAAAGTGGAAATCTGACACGTTGGAGCTTGATAAACAAACTGTTAAAGTATTTTGGGTCTGAGAATTTTTATTTTAAACGTACAAATACAAAACCAGTTCAAACCGTCATTTTTCACAATATATACGATAATTATTTAAGAGTTAGGATATCAGAATAAGATAACATATTATTATTTATTCAAACTCTTTTCATAAGTCTACTAACGATTTCATGTTGTAATTCTCAATGCAATTTAAATCAAATAAAAATAGTTTGAGATCGACTATATATCGGTAGTTTTATTATCCCATAAATAATTTCGTCACTATTTAAGTTTCAGTTTTATAATTTTATTATTCAAAAATTTTATTTCACAACCCTATATTTAACTTGCAAGGCGTATTAAATGTTCGTCAAATGTTGCAGTAGAATTTTTTAATATCACCTGTAAATTGATGTAAACGGTGAAAGTTACGCAAAAATCATGTATTACGAAATATATCCCCTATAAAAGTTCTAAAAAAAAATTGCGACAGCATATGTCGGAGTTATACTGATCTTAACCTAAAAAATGCACATAAAGTAATATAAAAATGCACATAATATGGTAATTAAATCGTTATTATAGAAACCTAAATTTAAATTCAATTTGTCATTGTAATTATATTCCATGTCATTCTATTCCAAATCTATTATTAAATTATTGAAGCTGTTTGCGCAGGATTAAATAATGTTTTGAATAATTGAAATCGGTACAATCCTTGTCGCTAATATTAAATGCATAAGTTATGTTGGTTAACGGTAAAAGTATATCAGCTAGTTGCACAAACTTCCATTAAAATTGACATTACTGTAAGCGATATTACCGATACTAATTTGACAGTAATTAGAGTTTAAAAGTGTTATTAAACCTTAATGGACGTTTGTGCAACTGACCGTATATGTATTATAATTAGCTGACGCTGCTGATCACTAGATGACGCTACTGTACTTTTAAAACGGGATTTGGGTCTCTGTTGCCTTATTTGTTTCGATTTTTATCAAACAAATTAGCTTTCGTTTTCAATTTGGCATTTTTTTCCATTAACATAATTTATTGGGGATTTGTTAATCGAGTGAAAATATAAAATGTTACGATTAGCTGTTTCGCTAGATGACGATACTGTATTTTTAAAACTGAGTTTTGATTTTTTTAATGTTTGTTGTCTTTATTATTTTTCCGATTATTATTAAACAAAGTTGCTTTCATTTTTAATTTTTCAGTTCCATAGTTAATAATAATCTTTAGTTTCGTCAGTTCTGTTTGCGTTTAAGCTCAAAAACGATTTGTATTAGAAAGTTGTAATTACCCAACTGTGCGACGCAAAGGAGGGTAATGTGATTATCAGTCTATGTATGTATGTATGTTTGTTTCTATGTGGCATTCTAAAGACCAAATGCGTAGGTCGATTTTGATGATTCTTACATCAATCGATTCGTCTAAACTTTGCGAGTGTCACTAAAGACATGACGGTACTCAAAATTCACCACAGCGACAACCAGACGCCAAAATCGATGAACTATGTCAATTGGGGTGTCGTTGAATGGGTATTTTAAAATCATCTTTAGGTTCCTTTTATCATTTTTCATTTTAAATAATAGTTTAGGATATATAACGATTTAAAGTTGTTTAACAATACATTCTCGCTAATTTTCTTACATATTGATTAAAGTTTTTATTTAAAATATAAACGATATACAAACAAAAAAAAAACAGTGAAAAAGCATGAAGAACAAATATTTTTGATAAAAAAATAAAGCATATGTAGCTTTGAGCCGAGTTAGGTTTCTAGAGGGACTAATCATCAGTAGTTTAGACCATCGCAAGTTACTTAATAATCCCCACGATATTAACTCCCTCAATGAAATAACTTGATTGCGAAATTTACCATCTTATAACGAAGTCAACGAATCGAACGAATCTGTGGTGAATTATCCATTGGGCAAGCCTATGCCCCAGCTATAAGGACGCTGATAAGCTAATGATGATGATATAAAGGTGGATGCTTACTGGCAAATTTTAATTTAAGATTAGCTTTAGCCTCCAATGTTACAGCTAGTTCGATATATGTGGTGGATTCAATTATTACGTAATGATCTTCTCTACGTAATGATCTTCTCTTTCTAATACCTGAATGTTAATTCTATTAACTCTCAAAGGAATATTCGTAAAATTTCTGACTTTATAATTTTTCAAAATCGGACATGAAAGTTATCTGTACTTAAGTCGCAGTGTCAGGGCTTATAAAATTATTAAATAACGCGTTTCTTTAGTGTCGTATCAGCAGTACGAAAAAAGACGAAATTTGGTTTCCGGAGATATAGAATAGACCTTACGGTGTTATGGTAATTCGTACGTAGTAACTAATGCTCTTTTTTAATACGGTCAAGATTAACGGGGTCATACCAATTTACATTTTTTATCTTAAGATTGTAAAATAATTACGAAATACTTACTTTATATATTAATTAAAATAGAAAGTAGTATGTGCCTCATTGTGTTTTCAATAATTGCATACCACTTTAGAGTAAGGCTATGTTTTTCTGTACATTGTACAATAGATTTTATAAAACATAGTAGTGGCAGTAGATAGACAATATGTCACTGTTCACGTGGAATTCATTCGGCAAAACATCGCATTCGAGATACAATTTTACTGTATTTACATCATATCAAGTTGCGACAGAGAATGACAGGTCACTAAATCATTTTACCTAATAGGACACGAAGTATCACTTATATTCATATTATCCCCTTCACACGAGCCGGCCATTCGAGATTCGTACACACGGTGTGCTTGCAGTTGCATCAGTCTGACAAAAAACGAATCGAATTGAGAGAACGCTGTGTGAACTTAGCCTACTAGACTACGGACAACTCCGTAACACATAAGCCGCGATGACAAAAATCACTATGCGTGTATATCCTTGTATTTAAGGAAACTTTTTAAATTAACATTCAAGAAGTCAATGAATATCATATAATACTTTTTGTATCAATCATTCAAAGTGAACAAGATGTATGTGTCAAGCAGCAAATTGACAGTGGATTTAGTAAAACAAAAATATGTCATTAACATATCCAGAAAAACAAAATTTTTGTAGATAAATGTAAAATACAAATAAAAGTTTACACGTTTTGATTTAACATTCCAAATTCTTAGTTAAGCAATGGCAGACAATGCAGATGAAAAAGGAAGTGGTGATGTAGAGCCGGAAGAAAAAAATGAAGCACCGGAACCACCACCAGAGCCTAAAGTACCTGATGTTGAACTGATCGTCGACGGTTTCGGATTTATGCCTAAAACAATAATTACTGGCAAAAGCCGAACATCAAAAGGTTTCGGTAAATCGTCAAAGAATTTAAAAAAGGATTCTGAAACCCTTAACACAGAACACAGTAGCCCTTGTGCCTCGAGCACCAATATTGATATTGTCCGAAGGTATACTTGGAAAACGAAAAATAGGATGACCGTACAGGTGAATAGCTAAGAGATACTATAATAGCGAAGTGACTCGTGTTGTTTATTCAGTTCTATTATGGTTTTATTTTTCCTAGGTTATAACATACGGTGCCACCATTACATCAATTCAAGTACCAGATAGAAAGGGTATTCCCGATGACGTGATCGCTGGTTTTGATACTTTAGAGGGTAATATTATAAAAATAAACGCATTCCGTAAAAGTTTATTATAAAAATAAACTTTTACGGAATGTATCTCAAAATCATGATGTTATATTATCATTTTTTTCTAATAATAAAGCATGTTTTATGTAGACAGCCAATTTGTTTGGCGCTATTTGAAAAAAAAACGAATCGTTCAGACAACTATACTCTACGAAATTATTGTAGGCCTTGTTTAACACATTTCTTTCAGAATATCTTCAACCAAGAAATCCTTACTTCGGCTCGACTATCGGTCGTTACGCCAACTACATCAAAGATGCGACGATGTCAGTCAAACCATCTGGTAGAATGTATATGTTAACATCAAACAAGGGTCATCACCATTATCATGGTGGATATGTTGGCTTTGATAAGGTAACAATTTTTAATTGAATTCTCTTTTAGAAATAAGTCATATACCAAAAAAAAATATATATATATACCTAATTAGGCTTAGTTCGGAATGTTTTTGGTTATTTTTATTTGCTTTTTTATCTATTTCAGATTAACTGGCGTTCATATGTCACCGGGAATAAGGTTATAATGACCCATGTATCTGAAAGATTCCATGAGGGATATCCTGGAACAGTGATGGCTCAGGCCATCTTCGAGGTCACCTGCGACAACTGCCTCAAGATTGAAATGCGTTGCACTACAAGTGAACCTACCATTGTCAACATAAGCAACATGCCATATTTCAATCTAGCTGGACACGTAATAGATTAATATTAAAAATAATATAATAAATCAAAGTAGAAATCGGTATTCAATTTCAATAAGGTATCATCAATTATATATCGGATGAAAATTAAGACCGTAAAAACGATTACGATTAAAATAAGGATACTGTTACTTTGACTGTATAGATTATTGTTAATTTAAATGTAAAGTATGGATTTTGTATCGGCCATTTTATTTCACAGCACGCTGGAAACGAAACAATGTATGATCATATATTCACAATTAACGCTGATAAGTACACTGCTGTAGATGACGATGGTCTTGTCACAGGTGAAGTGGTAGTCATAAAATTAGGCAAAAGAAATAATTTGAATAATGATTTTTCATATCGTTTAATGTTTCATGCCATATCGTTGAATTGATCATCAATTAATAGAGATGAAACGGCTACTTAAATATGGTCATATCAATCAAGCGTCGATATTTAATGATAGAGCGATCGATTTTTTGTTTATATCAAAAAGACAGGATTATATGATTATTATCCATAAAACAATATAGCCTTTGCCACCGCGCCTTCGCTCTAAACTCCTACAATTATCTCACTGAACTGAATCAAGTAAATGTTTTTCGTTGCTTGGTCACCCTAATTTCTTTAATTTGTTGTAAACATAATTTATCACAAAAACAATGCGACATCAGCGCCTCTTACTGAGATTAATGGAACTTTTTACGATATGATCACTAATGCTTGTCCACATCATGATATGAGCACCGAGCTTTTCCATTTCATGAAATGATCGACCGTATCATGAATTGGTCAATTCTATGATCTGGCTACGCATGACATATGCATTAGTTTGAATTCTCTAAGTTTCGATATGTTTAAGATGGGCGTGACATTATGCGCTGTTTGCGGTCACGTGACAACGAGCATAAAATATTTGATTTTTCATAATTAATTTTAGCATTATTATAAATGTAATAAGCATAAAAGTGTTGTTATCGGTAAAAGTTTATTGTATATTATATCAGAAAAAGGTACTCATTTTCGTTAACTGTCCACACTCATATTGAATAAGCTCAGTTACATAAAGAGAAATGACGTTGTTACGGTTCTTTAGTGTTTGATTTCTTGAGCCTAAAATCAATTTCTATCCTTGTAGGTGAGAAAAAGGTTGTGGGCGGTACACCATACGATTTTAGGATACCGCGTGTCCTTCGAACCATGATACCAAGAATACCATTGGGAGGATATGACATAAATTTCTGCATCACACAGGGCATTGAGCAGGATCTAACGTTCCAAGCTAGGTAAATAATAATAAAAAATAATTTTACATAAATAGTTTGCGGGTAATAGAATAATTTTACATCGCACATTTAAATAAATTACAGAGCTCTACACCCGTTGACGGGTCGCGTGATGGAGGTGTACAGCAATCAACCTGGTATGCAGTTCTACACTGGCAACTTGCTGCCAGATCCTGATAAGATTATAGAGGTTAGTCTTATAGTTAACGATATAATAGATTGGGTGAATCATTTTAAGATATAAAACCAGTTGAATCAGGCCCGTCTTTGCCCATGGTGCGGGGGATCCAACGCACATGGGTGCTGCGCGTTAGGGGGCGCCGCATCGATGAACATCGGGAAATTCCCTGTAATGGGGGGTGGGGGTAGAGCACTGCTTGCACCCGGGGGCTTGTTGTGCTTAAGACGGCCTGAGTTGAATATACAGCTTAGGGTGATGAAACCTGGTGTTTAGGTTTGTTTAGCCATTCTATTGCTAGAAGCTAAAAGCTGGTACGTGTGGATGTAAATAAGGTATTTGCACGTGATGATAGTTAGACGAATGATGAAATTCTAGTTTTACTGGTGTTCTTTAATTATGAAATTATATTTAATGTGATTTTTATTTATATGAGGTTTTTATTACAAATATGCTTATGACTTCTTATACATATTGATTTAATATGACACTCAGCACATAAAAATGAAATATAATTTTGAAAGTATTGTAAAAAGCATAGTCCGTGGAAAATATTTTATAGTAGCCAAAATCCCACATATTGTTTAGATGTTTTATCTTACTACAATTATGAAAAGTTAAAAAATGACTAATTTACTAATTCAGACGCCCGGAGAGGAAAGCGAAGAAGGTGAAAATGAAGAAGGCGAGGGCGAGAGTGAGAGCAGCGAGTCAGTGAGTGAGAAGTCGAGTTCGCACGGGGAGGAGGCGCTAGAGGAAGGAAGCGAGGTGAGGAGAGGATATACACCTAAAAAACAATATTAGACATACATCTCCTATATACTTTTCCTGTCATGGCTATCTCTAGCAACATACATTGTGTTGTGTTGATGTCACCCACCCAGTGACCCAAAGTAGTGGTAAACCACTTCTACCTAATTTAATAATCTTTTGTTAATTTTTCATTTAAACTAGCTAATAATTTGTTTACAGGGTAAAACCAGTTACGGTTACGTGCCTCTCTTCGGTAAATCAGGGACTTTATATAAAAAGCATGGCCTGTTCTGTTTGATGCCACAAAACTATCCCGATGCGATCAATCATGTGAGTATTGACAAGTTTCTAAAAACATAGCTGTTCAATGATAGTTAAAAGAAACTCTATCTTCCTGATCTTGATGGTTTTCAAGTTGTAGTCTAACGTTACTAGGTCATGCGTAATAAATAGGAAAATTCATTGCGCTCCATGAGTTCACTCACATATAAACACATGATTGCTTATGTAGTTTTACAATGAGGAAGTATTTTAAGAAAAAAAAAGAAAACACTAAAAGCATCTCAATAGATGGCGACTATACTAAAAGTGATTTTTGCAGGAAACGACTATTCGTTTAGACCAAAGATAGTCATTTCCTTTTAACTAACATATTAAGAAAACTTAATATTGCAAATTTCGAAGCTTAGATATCAATATAAATAAGAAAAAGTACAAATAGAATATGAGTTGTTTATCAAACAGTAGAGTTTTGAAATTAATTTAATAATCGAGAAAGTACCGTAGCGACATCTAGTTTGATTTAGGGTACTAATTATATTTTTTTTAAATACTTTATCATTAGCTGACGTACGTAGATTGCGTTGTCATGATGCACTTATTAGTCCAACAGGTAGGCATTTTTCGACAAGCGTTTCAGGCGTTATAAGAACTTGTTCAATAGCTTGTTTTAGTATCTTAACCCTGACACACGCATAATCTAAATACTAAAAAGTACTGGCAGAATGTTGGAATTCATTTACCTTATTTAAGTTTAAAATAACATTACTGTTTCTTAGCGAAGTTAACTTCTTGATAGAGATAAGAGTAATAATAATAGTATATTTTGATAGAAACCGTGATATTTCTTTCGACCGATAAAGCATTTTCGTGGCGTTTAAATTTGAATAGCTGAAATAAATTCCACTACTTTCCTGCTTGGTATGCATCTTTAATTTTAAGTTTTACAATTGGGTTACTATCATGTCCTTGCGATATTCTGAAAAATTACTGTAACTTTATAGTGGTTGATTGATAATAAGTCTCAGGTACAGGGTTGATAGGTAGATATAAAAAGAAATTCTATTTAGTCCAAAATATTAGATACGTATTATTTGCTTCAATTTAACAAGATAATAGGCGGCTCGCTAGTTCATAACTATGTATAAAACAAAATAAACTCAAAAATTAGAGCGTGATTAAGCTGAAGTCGGGTTTTAGTTTTTGAACTTATTTGTTTTATTTTATTATTTTCAGGCAAAATCGCAAGCAAAAGAAATTAGCTCATCTCAATACATGTATTTGAAAGTCCTAATTAAGCCCTTTCATTTGATACTCTACACGGAATGATATAATAATATTTTTGTTAGTTTCTTATTTTATGCTCTCTACAGGGCGCTGTTGCCAATTTAATGTAACACTCCTACACACAACCTATAGCACGTGGACAACTAAGATGCTTAATTATACCTCATTTATCCAGTTACGATGAGTAGTTGTGAAGTTATAAGGGAACGAATGAACATTCTTAGATATATATCGGTTAAAATGATAACCCTCCTTTTCGCTTTTCCGTAGTCGGGTAATAAATTTACAAAGGCGTGACGTCTTGCGACATTATAACTCAATGTATCGCTCTAAGTAATTGATTATGAAATTTTTAAAAAAGTAGCTCCTTAATATTCTTCAATAGTCCGTCAGGCAGTACAAAAAAATGGTTACCATCCCTATTATAGATTAGGATATATTGTTGTTAAGCGTAGCTCATGTTTGTTTACCAATTTCTTTTTGTTTTTCAGAGAAACTTCCCGAATGCTGTGCTGAATCCTGACGACGTGTATGTGCATAGGATACAATATAAATTTGGCATTCTCCTTGGTAGATACCTTTGAAACTGTGTATTGTACGAATAAATATGTGTCATGTCAATCAGATTTTCTTTGCGAACTAACTATAGTAGATACATAGATAGTTATTTTATTTTTGTAAATATAAGTATTGCTTTCTTTTTTGTTTATTTGGGTCAACAAACAATTTTACTTTGCTTATGGTTATTTACTACTAACGCCATCTTTTGGTTAATACTAAAATTAAGCTAAAGACGGCTCTTTATTTTGGTGGAGAGCCTACATACAAAATGCTTTAGTATATACTACATTAAGTTAGTTGTTGTTCAGTCACGTAAAGATAGATGGCATGGATTTTTGAATTAAAAATAATTATTACATGCATAAAAAAATTATGAAAAGCGAACAATAATGCAATAATAGGTAACTATTAACAAAAGTTTTGGCATCCATAGGTATTTTCCTAGGCAATAGGATGCAAATTAAACAATTTAAAATAATCATATCAGTAAACGGAATTTTGCCAAACGGCTCGGTGGCCAAATTGTCTCATTTCAACTTTTAACACAATTCCGTTTAAAGGTACAGCGATTGTGTGAAAGTGTAGAAGTTTTAAAATAAATTTATTTATAAAAAAACAGCAGAGTGACTGGTTAAATCTCTCAGTATAACCATAGCCACATTATAATAAATTGCGTTTTTTATTTTTATTTAAACGGTTTTATTGATAATGATGTACTTAAAGCTAAAAAATAATTTGGTAGGTCCCAGGTTCCAGTCATCACACCCCTTATCCTCATTAATCAAAAGCATTGATCAGACAAAAAAATTAAATCGTTGGGTCCGTGTTTCCATCCAGTTAACTCGGTTTAGGTTACACCCAAACCTGGAACCTACCAAATTATTTTTTTAGCTTTTAGTATATTATTATAATTTAAATGGTTTTACCGTTTAAGTTAATTTCTTTTTACGTAATTTGTTTTCATAAACTTGAAGTTTCATTACATAGTACTTCTTATTTTTTGATGGGTACCATGTAATGAAACTTTCTTTTTTCGGTTTCTTTGCTGACAATTTACTGCAGTACTCAGTGACATGGCTCTTGCCCTTCCTCAAACAATTTTGAGCCTAAATAAACAACTGCATGGTCTATAGTAATACTATCTTGTAGACAGTGGAAGGCCATGACAAAATTAAGGGCAACATCCTTTTTAAGCCGTTTTATAATAGAACTTTGCCGGAAACTTTATGGCTTTAGGGTGAATAAGATGTACGCCGTCTCCTCCAAAGTCCATGTGAACTGACTCTACATCTGTTTGGTACAGTTAGTCTCGACGAGACTGAGATTATAGCACCGTTTACTAAACTTTATGATACTTTATTATACCGCAACATAACATTGGCTCCTACAAATATTCCAAGTTCTGTCGGTAAGTTTTCAGTCTTGTTTATGTCTGTCGATATTATATTAGGTAAATTCAAATTATTTATATTCCGTGTGGCGTCAATTACCTGGTCCTAAGCATTTTTGCTATGTAGTAATTAACGTACATAACGTAAGAAATAAATTAGATATTGTAACAAACATGAAACCTTACATTAGAATTTTGCCATTATTACTTTTTTACTCTTTGTTTACTTTATAGCATGTATTCATTTGTTACCCATATTGAAAATTTAGAAGGTATGTAAACGACCATCTTTGGATTTTAATATTCATAGTGAATTGTGTTCTATTAGTCAAACCCTTTTATTTTAAATTTTTTTCATAGTGAACTCTACTAGTCAAACCAATGATATTACACCATTGAATTCAAAAAACTTTGCTACTTAGCATACCTGAGCGCAGTCTGGCGAAAGTGTTGATTGTGTGCGTTTATGTACTATAATCATTTTAAAAATGCAATCCTGTGTTATGCGAAACTGTAGCAACAACATAAGTAAGTCATCTAAAAGTCAAGGGGTCACATTTCATTCGTAAGTATACATTTTTAATCGATTTGCGTTTTAACCAGAAAAATAATGTGTCATAAAAAGAAAGAGTAAATACTTCGGTTACAAATTGTTAAAAAGGTCTGTCAAAGATTATCCAAGCAACAGAACGGACAATTCGACTTTAGTACCTACGCTCTACTTTATATTTATTTGAAAATCCAGATGAGACTTCAACTCCGAAACTCCAGGGTTTGAATTCAGAGTATCAAAATCTAACTCGGTAGCTAAAAATACTCTGATTTCGATTGATCGATCGGTCGAAGCCCTAGTGTTATTACATATTGTATATCAGTCTTAGGTTTATTTTATAGCTTGAAAAGCTTCATTACTTATACACGTCATTACTTATATACGGGCAAATAATATATACACTAATGACAAGGAAAAATAATAATATTAGTCATCATCATTGTTAAGCTGAAACTGTTGATAGAAGTCTTTTACTTGTTTAGTAAAAGTAGGCATCAAACATGCATTAAATCATTATACGTCTGGTCTGTGAAATGTTAGATAATAGTCTATGAATAATTGGAGAGTATCATGTCATTTGCGTGTGTATATGATGGGGACAATTTTTGAAATCATATTAGTACTGATTCTACCTTTTCTATCGTAATATCGTATCGTAATTGAGGTAGTTGGGACAAAATTTTTAAACCGTAATTTTATAGCGATCATCTTGGATTTATAACGAAAATAATCTATTGTATTGTCACCAGAACTAAATAAGTAAGTGTTCCAAATTTCAGGAAGGGTGAAAAACAAACAAGGCAAATAAATAAAATATATAAAAAAAAAGTTTTATTGATTTAATCCACGAATATATTTATAACTACCTGTGACTGCAATTTCGTCTGCGTGGGAAATATTTTGGTAGAATTCTTTTATTCCTTGGAGTCGAATCGAATAAGATCAATGGGCCATAACCCACTATGCGGGCTTTATGCGGATCGGTGGGTGTTAACGTTGCTGATGCAGCCAGGATTAACGGCTTAACGTGCACTCTGCCAGTGTTGTGCACAG